GCACTGTACGCCAAGGGGTGAAAGTTTCACCGACTTCACCACACCAGATTGCATGGCTGCGAAACGAGCTTTTGCACGTGCTGACTGATTGAACTTGTATAAAAGGGAGCCACAGTTCAATTGTGAGATGGGCAACCACTGAGGTTCTTCGTATCCCTTCCACTTAATGAGATATTCGCGGATATGTTTCGCATTTCGGGTGCGCTTGTCCCATCTTAAATCCACAATTTCTTCCACATCGTACTCCTGATGCGCCGAATCGGGTTCCCAACTATCCTCTGGCAGTAAGGCCGCATCGAAATCCTCCTCCTCTGAAACATCAATCCTTAATGATGGCCGTTTCGGAAACAAGGCACGTGGTTTTAGACGACTAATGTGGACACATGGCTTTACACGGTAGCCTGTGCCCTGAACCTTAAATTTCACCTTGAAATCGTCCCGGACCTGTTCAATCCTGAATGGTCCGTGCCACAAGTGGGCCAACTTACAACCCAGACCTGGCAAAACCTTCGGAATATATAACCAGACCGAGTCACCTACATCGAAACCAGACTTGAGGTGATCCGATAGCACCTTCCACTTCTGAGTCTGAATCGCGGATCGCGTACGCTTGGCTCCCCTCTGGAGCTCTTCCGCAAGCGTGGGCATAGCTGTAGTCTCGTTGCAATTTTCGACGCCATTCATACGCGGTACGTTCTGCGACGTCCGTCGGTTTTGGGCCCGGCATAGCTGCTATAGTACTCCGCCTATCAAACCCGTGTAGCAGGTAGAACGGCGTATCCAATCTAGTCGCATCGACGGGGGTATTTATAGCATGCAGAAGCTTCTCTGCATGGTCGTCCCAGTCGGTTTCGTCGGGCTTTTCAACATACGCTCTGATTCAGTCTGACGCGATCGTTCCTGCTGGCCATTGACCTGAGGGCAATGCGCGACCGTAGCTTTCTGCTGGATACCCATCATCTCGCTGAAGCGACCGAACAGCCGACTCATGAACCTGGATCTCTGTCATGACGGATTTCAGAGCTTACGCCATAGTTCCTGAACACAACCTCTTCATAGGCTTCAGCACAGTCTTGAGCGGTAGTACTGTTCATGGGTTTACACATAACGTAACCCGTGAACATGTCCTGAAACAAAAGTAGGAAGGTATTCTGGCGTTCCGACTTCGGAAGGTGCGTGACAAAATCCATGGACACTACTTCGAATGGACCAGTCGGTTCAATATTCCAGGGAGAGGGTCCTGGATTCGGTGGTCGCCCCTTAACGGACGCGCAATCCGTACATTCCTTGAACCGGAGTCTCAAATGTCGAAAGAGTCCTGGCGACTTCAGCACCTCGAATCGCGCATGAGCTCGTCGAATCAATGGCGAAAGCCTACGTGGCGCAGCAAGTTCGGAGATGGGAGCAGACATCTTCAGGGCGAGTTATCCCCCTGAGTCCCGCGTAAGCATGGCCTGCAAGCACTCCAGACTACACGGCCTGGATTGAAGCGGCGAAGACTACGTCAGATTTCCTGACGCAACAACCGTCGATGGGAAGTCAAGACGTCATGTGGATCGCGGACTTGAATGCTACGCGTCTGGGTTTCGGAACGGCTCAGGATCTCCTGGGTGTCCAGGTTCCGACTGCCCTGTGCTAAGCCCGTCAATGCGCGGCGCTCCTCCAGACGTTGTTGTTTGAGGCTGGTTTGCAGTTCGACAACGTGATTCCTGAGTGGTTCCGAACCAGAGACTCCAAGATCTCGGCTGATCAAGTTCGGCTGGATTCTGAAGTCATTCAATGTCTTCTGTCAATAGAATTCATTGAATGGAATAAGCTCACGGATGGAATTCACTACGAGGTCCGAGCCGCGTCGGGAACAGTGGTCGTCAGAAAACCTGAGGACGTGTTGATGACGGATACGGAAGCTGGCATTCTCGGTGAGAGCTTCCCAATCAGCATCGATCCAGAGTCCGGATAGTTAGAAGCTTTCAGGGATCGTCAGATGGAGTACCATAGTTGAAGCGACAGGAGAACGAACCGCCTAGACCACCGTCAAGCATCCAAACATCGCTGTCGAATGGATTCACACTGCCAACTTCATCTGAGTCAGGTTCTAGCTTGGCTCAAGCTGTTCAAGGGCTCAAGATCAAGAATGCTGAGTTCAGTGGTATGTCGGACTCTGTACCAAGTATTGTAGGACCGTCATGTTCTTCTCTAGGGTACTCGGTCCACACTTCGTCTGGAATCAGCACGTCCCATGAGAGCTCCGCATCTTCAATAATGTCAATCCCAGAGGGAGGAGCAACGTACCCTGGACAAGCGGTTGTCATGCATATCCAATCGACAGGTGTGCAAAATGCAGAAGACAGTGGAGGTGGAACTCTGAGTCGGATGTTTATTCCTCCAGCGACCTGAGCCCCGTCAAGAGGATGTCATCATGAATGAGTCTAGTGACTATGCGGATTCAAAACCACCCAGGCTCGAAGTCAGAGCCCAGGCACTATCGGCGACATCGGCGTCATGGCAGCCAGGGACATGGGCGCGAAATGAGTACGTCTGAGTACACATCGTCACAAGGCGGTAGTCGGACACGTTCCTCGAAGCGGAGCCAGAGATCAAGTCACTCGGAGCGATCAAGTCACGTTGGAACTTCTCGCCGGTCTGGGGCGTCCTCTGCATCCTCAGCTGCAGCTCAAGTAGCCATCCACATGATGCTACAACAGCAGGCAGTAATGGCCGAGTTACGTAACCAACAGGAAGCGTTCCAGGAGAGACAGCAGCGGTTGCAGCTGGAATCGGCCATGCAAGTGCAGACCCAGT